ATCTAGGGGTTCCCCCGGAGGTAGCAGATAGTAGTCTAGAACTTCTCCAGTGCGATGCCTTTAAGAAGGGAACGGCATCGTGAACGCCGCCATCGCCGGCTTTGTCATCTAGCCAAGAGCAGGTTTTCACCCAGATCTGTTCGAAGAACTCCATCCAGCTTCTTATGCACGGACCGCCGCCTTCTCTGTCGGAGACTAGATGAAAAGGATCCAGCCGCCGCCGCCAGATCCATGCAGTCATCACCGGGAGATGACGACAGTCTCCCTGTACCAGAGCTAGCACGAACCGGAGCAGATCGAGTCGGAGACGATGATACTCCTGGATCTCCGGCAGACCAGCAAGCCGCCGGCACCACCGTGTCTAGATCGCCGGCCACACTGGGCCGCCGCCACCCCCCGCGTCGTCCGGTGGTCACCAGATCCGGGACGAGCCGGAACCGGTCGGACCAACGGGCGCGCCGCCACCCAGCCATGGGGCCGCCGCCCCCTGTGCATCCGGCCGATTCCCACCGGCACCACCACAGCCGCCGCCACTGGGCCGCCGCGCCGCCGTGGGCCGAAGTGGGGGCCGCACCTCCGCGGATCTGGGTGCCCGCCCCACCCATGATGCCCGGTCTGTAAGTCTAAGAATTTTTATGCCCACAACTTCTATACAATGGCACACCATCATCTACATTCCGATGTGACCCTTTATTGGATTTGTAAAAGTTGTTGCACTATGAAGATCAAGGTATTTGGATTGCTTCGTCTGCTGAATGGAACCATAAATATACAAGAGATATGTTAGAAATTCGCCATTGACATGTGAGTGATGATAAAAATTGTGTGCTCTGCCCTACTGGAGCAAGGGAAGATAGAAACCATTTTTTCTCAGCATGATTTGGATTTATCTTCAGATTGCTTGGCTACCTGCAACCACCATGTTTGAAGTGGCTAGTAATGCTCATAGAAGCTTTGGTGATCCTTTTTCTCCGAAGTGGCCTTCACTAGCTGTTGGATACTTGGTTGCAGCATAATGGATTTTTTAGGAATAATAAACCCTCTTTTTCAGCATAGAGATCTGGGTTTATTCATGATAGGTATCCGTTGCAGCATGATCAAGCCTAGGTTTAAATATAGACTCTTCAGATGGCTAGCTTTTTTACCTCCTTAGGTAGGTGCCTTCTTATTGTTCCTGCTCTTAACATCTTGTTATACATTCTGCTCTAACATTATTTTGGCTTTAATACAGTGGAAGGGTTGTGTGGCTTTTGCTTTACAGTGTACAACAAGAAAACTGACACTTAATAAAAATGGCAGAATAACTGGCGGTGTTGGCTAGTTTAATGCCCTTCATGTATCTAGTTTATCAATACATTGGCTTTTATGACCTGTATTACATATGCATTTTAGGAATTATGATAGTTTTTAGTTCCATAACACTTTTTCATGGATATGGCATATCCACTTCTTTTTGTGCCTTTCGGTCACTAAGTAAGCTTAAATTTTTACCTATTTAATTAGCCAGAAACAAATTAACCTAGAGTAAATCATGAGAGTGGTTGAATTGGCTTGTTAAAGACCTTTTATTAAGTACTGAGCTAATTACCTTTGTGCCGTTATTTTCTGTGGGCTAGTGAAAACCTAATGCCCCTACATCTCCAGCGCCATTTCGGTGGGACGAGACAACCTTCGAGTAGACTAGAGTTAGCCAAGCTCCTCGGTCATAGTCTTTCAGAAGATGAGTAATGCGGCTATCTAGAGGTGCATCCACGCACATGGCAGATGGTGGTGTCTGCGACAATCGTGTACATGTTTTTCGGCATTGAGAGCAGGGGTTACTCCTGATATGTATCTGTTGCAGCATAGGATCAAGCCTATATTAATTTAAAGATATAATCTTAAGCTGGCTAGCTTTTTCCTTAGCGAGGTGCCTTCCTGTTCTTAACATATTGTCGTAACATTATTTTGGCTTTAATAAAGTGGATGGGCGGTGGGGATTTTGCCTGGGAAAGTCGCAACGTACCAATGTCTTTCATGTATCTAGTTTATTCATATATATATTCACATATATGACCCGTATAACATATAATCCCCCGTTCTATAATGTAGTGCATATATAATTTTTGAAAAGTCGAACATTATAAACTTTGATCATGTTTATGGAGAAAAACATATATATCTAGAATGGCAAACATATATCATTAGATTCATCATAAGATTTACTTTCACATTTTATATATTTTGTATTGTAGACATAGATAGTTTTCTCTATAAATACAGTCCAAGTTAAAATTTTTGACTTTTCAAAAAACCTATATGCACTATGTTATGGAACGGAGGGAGTACATTTTAGGAATTATGGAACTTTATAGTTCCATAACATTTTTTCGTGGATATGGCATATCCAGCTTTTATCGTCCCTCTCCGTAACCAAGTAAGGTTAATATTTTAACTATTTAATTAGTAGAAAAGATTTTTCCCATAGTAACTCATGAGACTAGGGTGAATTGGCTTGTCAAAGACCTTTCGTTCTGCCCGACCGCCTTTTCCGCTCGGGCTGCTCCTGCGGGCAGCCACCGCCGGCTCCCACCTCTCTTCCTCCTCCTTCCCTCTCCCTCATTGCCGCTGAGCAAAGCTTAGTCGGCATCAGCACGACGGGGCACCTCTTCCCCCCTGGTCGGGTGCTTGCAGCGCGGGCTACAGAGTTCGTGCGGGGGCACGTAGCTCGTGTAGGGCTGCTTGGGGGTGACCCGCGCAGGCATGCTGGTGATGTGGCTGGTCGACTGGTGGCAGTAGCTACGCAGTTGTGGCAGCGTTCCGCGGCGGCGAGGCTGCTTTTTTTGGCGGTAAAGTTCCTCTGTAGGTCGAGCTACATGGAACCTCTTATCTTCACCCTTCAACATTGCTTCGAGATCCGTACTCTCCAACTAACTTGCAATAAGAAGATTTCTCTTTTTTCTTTCTCTCAAATCAAAGAACATATGGACTTCAAACTTTGCAGATCAAACACATTTTACAACTTCAGTGTGTGAAAACAATTTCAGATTTTTTGGACCAACATAAATATATAAAATGAGGATTTTTTGATTAAAAAAATAATTTTTAGCATTTTAAATACATGAAAAAATCTGAAAGTTTTTCCCCACATAGTAATTAGAATGTTTTGTTGTCCTGCAAAGTTTGAAGTTTATACGTTGTTTCATTTGAGAGAAACAAAAATGACAACTGTGCCTGCACGGATCGCGATGCAAAGATGGATGGCTAAGATAAGGGGTACCATGTAGCTCAAGCTATACAAAACCACACTCCTTGTTTGGCGCACTGTTGTCCGTTGTCGACGGGGGAGATGGCCAGCGACGCGCCTAGAGAGACTCAGCGGCGGTGCCTGGGCAGCTTGTCGGTAGCGTGGGGTTCCACCCCTGGTGCGTGAGGACTAGATGTGGGTTGTGGTGGCAGGGCGTTCTTGGGAGATGTCGGTGGATCCGCCGACCTAATCTGGTGTGGGAAGCTCCTCTGGCTGGTTGTTCGTTAGAGGCGCGAGCCATGGCAGTGCAGGCGGGCCCTCTTTGGTCGTCTCGATTGCTAGTGGTGGTGCGGCGTGGTGGTGTGCCTTGGTGCGGTGTGTTTGGCGGTGGGTTGTGAGGGTGACGTGCTTGACTAGGGCGCAGGCGGAGCGGGTCTATGGGGGCAGCGACGCTCTCTGGTGGTCGTGCTCCATAGGCGGCACGGGGTGGCCTGATTTCGGCCCATCCTTTCTCCTGGGTCCAGGCCAGCGGCACATGATATGCTCGTGTGGTGCTATGGTCGGGACCTGGGGCTCGTGTTCGGGCATGTCAGATTGGGGCCTGAGGTGGGTCGGAGCTCCCGCTCCTGGTAGGCGACGGTGGGTTCGGTTCAGGTGGTTCGTGTGGGCGATGAGTTCCCTCTCCTCATGGGTGTGGTGGTCGTTGGTGGTGTTTGGGACTCCGCTACTCCGTCAGGCAGATCGATGTCGAACACCATATGCATGGCGTGCGAGCGTGCTTGGTGACAGTCGTCGCTAGTCACGCAGTTGTGCCTCCTCCGTTCCACCTGGACCGTAAGGGCCTCATGCCATGGAGGATTCACCTAGACTCCATGGTTGATGCCAGGCCAGGAGTCCAAGGTGACCGTAACGGCGATAGGTGGAGTGACGGATGGCTCAGTGTGCTCTCTGTCACTGGTAGTGGCGTCGCCCTGATTCAGATTTGGAGTTATGACTTCGTCGCTCTTGTCCTGGAGACCACATGGTTACTCGGGGGAGCTATCGGGTGAAAGCTTCACGCTTTGTCGCCGACGGCGGCGACGCTCTCAGGCGCCGTTATCTTTTTGAATACATCGTCGTTGTTCTCCTGTCCATTTAGGGGTTCCGGGGGAAAGCCTTTGTCCATTGTGCACTTGGCAACGGCGATGATTAGCGCCGTTTTCCCTCCTTGGGGCATTATCTTGGAGCTTAGGTGTTATATAGGATGTAGCGTGGCGTTGTAGTCAGTTCCACTTGTGCTATGTCTGGTAGCGTAGTCGCGTGCTTCTTACGTGGTCTGGTTATCCTGAGATCAGTATTGTCTGAGGGCTACCTCATAATCTTGTATCTTTTGGTCTTGTATTTTTTTTTCGATTGTTGCTTTATACATAAAGTGGGGTGAAAGCTTTCAAGAAAGAATATATAATATTTAGTTAACTGCTAAGAGCTAGTTTCATTTTTGCCGTTATTTTCTTGGGGCTAATGAAAACCTAATGCCCTTGCTCTCTAGCGCAATTCGGGCAGAACGATACAACCTTCCACCAGACTGGCCAGCCAAGCTCATAACTGACCGCGTCCCAGCTGTGCTCAACAGCCCGCAAGCTTCCAAACAAAAAAGGAAAGAAACGGGCGCGTGCAATTAACGCACACCACGCCGGCCGGCCACACCCTGCGCAGATCAGATCGAGGCCTCTCCGCCCCATTCCGACCTCTTTCCGTTCCCTTTCCGACCGAATCTCCCTCGAGCCCAGCGGCGATGTTCACTTCCAAGCTGCATAACCTGTGCCAAAAGCTGCGGTGGCCGGGGCCGGCCTACGCCGACCGGCGCGAGGGCCCGGACCACGCGCCGACTTTCCATGCCACCGTGGCCGTCGGCCGCGCCGTGTTTCGCTCGCCGGCGGCACCCGGGCCCCGCACGCGCAACCAGGCGCGGGATCTCGCCGCCAGGGCAGCCTTCGAGGTCCTCGCCGGCTGGGAAGCCCCTCCGCGGCTACAGCTACTGCCCGGTGAGTGTGTATGTATTGTATGCGCGCGCCCTAGCTAGCTACAGTAGATCCGGTTTTGCTCTAGATTCTAGGGCTCCTCCTCAGTCCTCTCCACCGTACGTACGTACTGCTCTCCTCCCATGCCGCGCGGCCGAAGCAGACGCCCAAGGGCCTCGTCGTGCTCGCCAAGATGACAGGAAGACGACATGTTAACACTACAAACTCTACTCCGCACTCAGGAGATGGAGTCATGGAGATCCAAAAAGTCTTCAGCGCCTGCAGATCACCACTTCAATGGTGGGGAGCATAGTAAGGCAACATGAGACAAATCATCCTCGGGAGGAGGATTTGTGGTCTATGGGACATATGCATCTTATATGGAAAAAAAATACAGTAATTAAAAAAAGTAAAAAATTCCTGAAAATATTTTTGAAATAAACTTGACCTTTTATTGTACTCGTGAGAAAAAAATCCACAAAAAGAAATCTCCCTTTGACTTCTTTTCAAAAAAAACAATTTTTTGGCTAAAATAGTGTGAATAGTGACCTATAATAGCAAATAATTTTTGTCTTTTTTGCTGCGAAGTCAACTTTTGTTTTTTTCATGAAAATTTATATACTAATGCAAAATTTAGTCAAGTTTTTTGTCAAAATAGTTCTTAACTATTTTGACTTTTTATTAAAATATTAAAAATAAATTTCCATGTAGGGTATATATACACCCAGGAACACAAGTGTATTTCCCATCGTCCTCGTCCCTAAATTGAGTTGATTTTGTTTCCATCTCTCATGCTATTGTGAAGCTTTTTATTGGCAATCTTGCCACTAAAATGGTTCTTCATGTTCTTCCGCACCTGTTTCTTCTATACCCGTCGTACTCACTATTTTCTATACTGCAGAAACACAAGTTCCTTACAAGTGTCAGTTGCAAGATTATGCTCAGAAGAGACAAAAAGATTTACCATTGTATCACACCATTCAGAGTGGTCCACTTCACCTGCCAATGTTCAGGTCAACAGTCACCATAGATGGCCGCACTTTTGAAAGTCCGCAAGACTACAACACAAAAAAGAAGGCAGAATCGGCTGCTGCGGCAGCTGCCCTAATGGCATTAGCTGACCAAGCAAAACCACTGGAGAAAATGCTACTGGTTGGTTTCACCTATATATTTTTTGATTCTTATTATGGGATGGTTTAGACTTGCAAGGCCTCACCTATATATTATAGTCCCTCCGTAAACTAATATAAGAGCACTTAGAATACTAAAATAATGATCTAAACACTCTTATATTAATTTATAGAGGGATTAGATAATAAGCACTAACATCCTTCACAACTTATATGTATTATTGGTAGACGTGTTCATCTCCCATCTCGGATTTCAATATTGAAGAAAATAAAAACTGAATTGATTCACCGACTTCATCTAGCGAGGATTGACAAATTTGACTCTCTATCATATGTTGAGCCGAAAAAACAACCCATGTCATTCCAAAAAATAAAACCTCTTGTCTCAAACTTTAACCAAAACCAACACTTTTGCTCCACGCCAATCAGTCCGCTGTTGAAATTGGCTAGATTAGCACCATGTTTCCCGCTACCTTTTTTCCTACAAAAACAGTGTTTCACAAGTCAACGTCTCTTTGCCTGGCGCTGACTTTTGGGAACTCAATGCCATTCACGTTGGAACCGAGAATATTTCTTAGCTTTGCATTGGGCAAGCTAGCTAGCCAGTGAGCTTGTCAAGAAATTATGCATCAAAGCTAGCTAATAGCAAACTAACTAGTTTTTGCTTCAATGCTAGACACCAATTGAGGTGGCGTTGAGGTTACAAAGGTCAACACAGAATACTATGGCATTGACAATGAAATATTGTTTTGTCTATGGAAATGCTAACATTTTTTCTCAACTCCACACATTCAGTGCTCAATGCCAATTGAGGTGGCGTCGAGGTTACAAAGCTCAACGCTGGCGTTGACCACGAACTGTGGTTTGTTTGTGGAAATACTAAATTTTTCTCAGTGCCATGTAGCAGTGCTCAACGCCAAGATACATGGAGTTGAGATAGCCAAGTTCAACCCCATGTTGGTTCGAACAAGGCAAAAGCGTTAGATTTGGTTAAAATTTTGAACAAAGGTTATTTTTGGTTTAACATTCGATAAAGCGTCAATTTGTTCATTACTGACCTGCATTTACTATCTGTGGAAACAGTTAAATTGGTGTATTAATGAAATGACTTTTATATTTAGTTCTGTTGAAAAATTGATGCATAGAAAGATTTGAAGGGGTATACTATACTTCTGACTTTTTTGACGATGTGCTAAATTTGGCAATTTTCATCTAACAGACTGCTTTACCTGTTGTAGCTGGCTCAATTCATGTATTTCTTTGCTTGGAATCCAGATTAATTATAAGGTTCAGTTACATATTCGTAGTGAAAATTTTAAGAAAAAAACCTTGTTTTAGGGGGAACACAGGACAATGCTTATCATTCTATAGTTATGGAAGAGCATAGGCTATAGTTTATAATATCCTAATAGCTGTGCGAAGTCAGAAATACTTATGTAAGGTATTTGCTTAATTTGTAAATACTATTTTGTAGGTTCATGAAATGGTGCATACAAATCCTCGACTTGTATTACCTGAGAAAAAAGGCTCTCCCAAATCAACTATGCACATTACAGAAGAATGTTTTCAAGGGAAGCCTTCTAAGAAGCAAAAAAAGATGCATGTTGCTGACTTTGGTTTTCAAAATTCCCAAAACAGTAAGTAATTTAAATTCCAGAAATCAAGGTTAATATTGGGAGCGAACTTCACGAGTAGTTTTTTGTATTATTTTGTGTACTCAATATCTGCCAAGAAAATGTGATCTGGGTATTATTTAGCTCATTCTTATTCATTACGATTGTCATACTTTGATGAGCTGGCTGACTGGTGTACCAGTAGTGCAGCATGTGTTAGGTACCAGTGTCGCTCAGGTACAATTTGATGGTGTATCAGGTTATTAACACCTTAAAACAAAGGAAATTTCTGAATCTAGCTAGTTGATAGAACTACCGAGTAATCCTGACACTAAAACATAAATCCCCTAAAATGGCAACATGTTACGACTAGCCTATGCATACTCTATCATGTATCATATATCAGTCTGTATGAAAATGCTAGGCTCATTAACAAGATTGATCTGATTTCTCTAAGCATAGCACCAGTTGCCTCCCTAACTATTATTTTCTCAACCTTGTTATGCTAAGAGGAGTTTACATCTGCATGTACTGGACATCGATGATTGTGTTGTATTTATCTTGATATTTACACACCTCCACTCTTATGGGTACAGAACCAAGAGCTGAGGCGGCGACAGCAGCAACTGTGGCACATGTTGCTTGTGCCAAATGCGGTTTCTCAAAGTCAATTGACAGGATCAAGGTCTACCGACGCCATCCTGAAATGGTGTTACCAGATGGGGCGACGATGAATGGGTGGCTGTGAGGCTACCCTCCCCTCAACCCTGAAGGTATTCTTTGCTTAAGCATACTCCCATTGTTTATTTATCAGTATCCATTGCTCTCTGCTCGCTGCACAATTAAGTTGTTTTCTCTGTGTGTCCAAATTCCAGATGCAGATGGTTGGTGCTAGCGCAGCCAATGCACCTGTGCTGTTGTATATGTTGTAGTTTTACCCCAAGTTTGGCTCAACATATCCACACAGTAGCTTTATTATGTGCCTCTTCGATTCGACATGGTTATAGGCTTGATGTAATAAGTGTATGCTGATGGTAATTGGCCCTTGGCCAACCATCTCGCTAGCTAAACCTGGATTATACATGTTGTTACCAAGTTGTCACTTTGAGTTTGCAAGAATGCAAGTTTATTTATTGGGACCATTCCGAGTTCTGATGTACAACTTTCTTCATTCCTAAATGGTTTAGTGGGTCTCTGCCTGAGTGCTGAAATGCCGGCCGGCCTATGCTCACTCACGGTTAAGAACTAAGTAGGAACCCACCTTGAGGGAAATACACTTTGGAACCTGCATGTATATACACCCTATATGGGATTTTATTATTATTATTTTAATAAAAAGTCAAAATAGGTAAGAACTATTTTGACAAAACACTTGACTTACTTTTGCACTAGTAAAAAAATCTGGATGAAAAAAAACAAAAGTTGACTTCACAGCAAAAAAGACAAAATTTATTTGCTATTATAGGTCACTATTCACACTATTTTAGCCAAAATTTTGTCTTTTTTGAAAAGAAGTCAAAGGGATATTTTTTTTGTGGATTTATTTTCTCACGAGTACAATAGAAGGTCAAGTTTATTTCAAAAATATTTTCAGGAATTTTCGACTTTTGGTTGAATTACTAAATTTTTTTTGCATATAGGGTGTATATACACCCATAGAACAAAAGTTCCCTCCCCCTTGAGGGAAATCCCACCTTGACACAAGGTCTACACTTAGCCCTCGCGTGTTGCCTCTCGGCAACGGCCTAGCCGCCGGCAGTACACCCCACCCCACCTGTCCTCCTCCTCGCCGCCGCCTGGTCGCTTTGCCAGGCAAAGCCGCGCGGCTGTGGTCGCGCGGCAGGACTGTTTCTCCTCGCTCGGGTTTTGTGGTGCGGGGCCTGCTGGTCTCAGCCGAGGCGCTTGGCTCGCCCGGCGGTGTGGGTGTAGTTGCTGCCACGTGGTTGCGGTCTTGTCCGGTGCCCGCCGTAGCGGCTCCTGGTCGGGGACGGGAGGAGCTGCGCTGGTGCTGTGAATCCAGCGAGCTGGTGCTCAGATCTGTCGTCTGGCCAGGATGACAGCGAGTGTTTTTTTTAGAAAAGAAGGATGACCCCCGGCCTCTGCATCTGGGCGATGCATATGGCCACTTTATTAATTATTCTCACAAGATCTTACAAAATCAATACAACAGTAAGACTAAAGCCGCCGTCTAAACAACAAACTGTCGCTACACCTATCCAGTTGATGAAGGAGCGCAGATAGCCTGGGCCTAATACCAAACAGACATCGCATCCAGCCTAACATCTAAGACCTGAGATCCCAACCTAGCCACTTGCCGGGTCTGGGGCACACACTGGTCCGGCGTGCTCTGAGAGGCCACCGCCGCCAACTGTCACCGCTCCATCTTCAGAATTGTACTGATGCATCAACCTTGCTCGGTCCAGCTATCGTCGACGCCACCACGGCGCCCAACGGCACCTCCTCCCTGCGTGCAAACCGCTGAACACGTCGCGGTCGCCACTGATACACCTCAGCACCATGCTGCCAAGTATCACCAGCCGACACAGCTTGAAGTCCTTGGAGAATCTGTCGTGCGTAGCACCTGCTGACTAGGCATGACCAAGCGTAGCACCTGTCGGTCAGGCATGACTTGACATCTCCACCGAAGCTCCGTGCAAGACGAAGCCGCTCCACCTCCTGCCTCTGACTTCCAGCGCTGCTCGACAAATGATGCTCCAAGAGAGAAACGACACCGTAGTGCCGCCATCGTCCGATCCAAAACACCAGATCCTAGGGTTTCCCCCGGAGCAGCATGAGTGGGTCGACAGTAATTACACGACGATGCCTTCATGAAGGTAACGGCATAGAACGCCGCCATCGCCTGCCATCGGCTCGGTTTTCACCGGCAACCATGTCTCCCCAACTCGCAGCTGGGACTAGATGATGGATCTCGAGATCCGATCACCAAGCTTCTGGCCGGCCACCGCCGACGAACAGGATGACCACCACCACTGGCTACACCGGCCAAAACAGATCTGCCATGGGTGCCACCAAGCAGTCCACCAAGTCCTGCCGCCGCCGCCGATCTAAAGCCAGATGACATGCCGCCGAAGACCGCATCACGCCGCCGCCCGATCCAGGCCAGCCGCCGCAGCAGCCGCCCATGGCCCGGGGCAGGGCCGACCGCCGCCGCTGTCGAAGCGAACGCCGTCGCTTGTAGATCGGCCGCACCTCCACGCATGTTGGGGTCCCGCCACCCCTGAGAAGCGGGAGGGAGGAAGATCCCCCGCCACCGCCGTCGGCCTCCGGACGCAAGCCGGCGGCGTCCTCCGGCGGCGGCAGGAGGAGGGGAGGAGGATGGGCTAGGCCCCGGCGGCGGCTAGGGTTGGGGAGCCACCCGAGTCGCCCGAGCGGGCCTTCTCCCTCTCCCTTTAGTGACCATCGATGACAGCGAGTGTGGCGTGGGCACATGGCCCTGGGGCACGGCTGTTCTCCGGCATGGATCTGGCTTCCTCTGGCGGCTATGGCTCTGCTGGTGTGGTGCGCGGCGGTGCATGTGCTTGTCTACATAGGGGTTGGTGCTACAAGTGTTCTTTGGCCGTCGCTGGGGCGTGACGAGGTGGCCGGACGGCAACGGTTCGTGGATCTGGTGCGAGGGAGGTCGTCGTCATGGGGCCTAGCCGGTGCATTGTTGGCATTGCCAGGTGGCAGTTGGCAGTGAGGGCTCCAAGGTATTTCACAATAGCAAGGACGGAGGATGGCTGTATGGCGGTGCTGCACTTGGAGGTGGGAGCGGGCTGTCATGGCGGCGTGAGCAGTCATCTTGGTGGTGGGTGGCGGCGGTGAGCTGAGTCACGTGCTTGGTTGCTGCCGGTGGTGGTTTGGTCAGTTGGCTGTGGTGACATTGGGTTTGGTGAGCTCCCGATGAAAACCAAGCGATGTCGGCGTCTGTGGTGTCCTAGGACGTCGTTTCCTCATTGGTGGTGGCGCCATGGAGCCCCTTCACTCCCCTTATGAGCTTGGTCGGGAGGTCTCCGGGTGAAAACCCAAGCTTCGTCTTTTCTCAAAGTGGGTGTCCACAACAGTCCACGTCGATTCCCCATTGGAGGTGAAGCCTTGGTGGCCTGGCCTCTCGTCAGTTGGTGGTGGCTCATGCGGTTTTGTTAGCTTCATCATCGGGCTAGGCAAGTGTGTTGCCTTGGGATCGGTGTGGAACTCGTAGAGGTGATTCTGGAAGTCTCCTGTGCATGGTGTTGTCTTTAGTCCATTGGGCTGCAATATCATCCACTTGGTTGGTTTGCGGCCTCGAGGCTAGTGGGGAAGTCGGAGAGGTGGCTCCAGAGATCTCATGTGCGCAAGGGTGTTTGCTTTGGTCGCTAGGGTGATGGAGCC